ATCTCCACAGAACTCACCTGTGTGCATTCCAGACCATCTAGTCCGAACTTATGTCACACCACCCTCCATCTTTGCCTCCTTCTCCTCCTCCCCGCTATTATCCATATCAGCTGTGCCCTCTGGGTGCACACACCACATTAAAACCTGACTAGCGATCCTGGCAAGGCTGCTGATCAACTGAACGCTGTCTCCATGTCATTCCTTCTTCGCCGACTCCGTCCACACCTTTGGGGACCCCTGGACCTGCTGGGGTTGGACCCCGGCATCCATCCATGTTGGAAAACTGGCACTGAGGGAAGGCCCCGATTTGCAGCACTTGCTGATGCCCCTGGTGTGAATACTCCCACATGGCCCACTGCAGGCCACCGAGCTGAGGCCACTAAGCACAGGGTTGTCTGGAGACAGGTACCGTCCCGTGTGCTCCCACCGCACACACCACAGAAAGTCACAAATAACCTCATGAGCATCTATAATGGCCAAACACTGTGACATACTGGGAATTGATGCATTTTACATATTTATTACACGTGTTTTAATTTACCTAATTATAAGCATATAATTTAACTTTGATGGCTGTTTAACAATGAGCTCACGGCGTGTTTGAAAATATAAGTGAGCTCTCAGGAGCCAGGGCCTCCCAGAATGGATGGAACTGGCTCAAAGCAGAATCTAGGTCCCCGTGGGCCCCAGCCAACTCTCCCAACCACGTGGACGCTTCCCAGTCGAGGTCTCCTATGTGCCAGTCACTGTGATGGGCACCCCGACGCCTTGTATTTCAGTTAGGGTCAGGACAGCCTTCAAAAGGAGAGTTGAGGCCCCAGCCGGGGAGCTCAGTTGGTTAGAACGTCATCCCGATACACCAAGGTTGCAGGTTCGATCCCTGGTCAGGGCACATGCAAAAATCATCCAATGCCTGCATAAATAATCATCCAATGCATGCATAAATAATCACCCAATGCATGCATAATCACCCAATGAATGCATAATCATCCAATGCCTGCATAAATAATCACCCAATGAATGCATAAATAACCATCCAATGCATGCATAAATAATCACCCAATGCATGCATAAGTGGAACAACAAATCGCTGTTTCTCCCTCTCTGTGTGTCAGATTTGATCATTCCCAATTTTTCAAAGGAGCAAACTGAGGCTCAGTGAAATGAAAGCCGTGCTTCCCCAATGTTAATGTACAGATGAACCCCCTGGGGACCCTGTGAGAATTTAGACTCTGGAAGAATGACCCTGGCCCTCAAACCCTCACAGCGAGGGACTGAGCGGTGCCCTGGTCCTGGGTGAACGGGCTTCTGTGCCTAAAACGCACGCAGAGTCACAGGTGGAAAGTCTTGACCAGGACTGACCTGAGCCGGGCTCTCGCCCATAATTCAGACGTTAGAGCTCTGTAACTTCCATGACTTTCCACAGCCTTCGCGCATCGAATCTCACCCTTTCCCCTCTCCTGTTTGCTCCTCGCAGGTTCGGCCGTAAGCTCTGCCTCTTGCTTACCATCCTCATCAACGCTACGTCGGGAGTTCTCATGGCCGTTGCCCCGACCTACCCCTGGGTGCTACTGTTCCGCCTGGTCCAAGGGCTGGTCAGCAAGGCCGGCTGGGTGATCGGCTACATCCTGAGTAAGATGCTGTGACTGCAGCGGGGAGAGCGAGGGTCGGTGCTGCCAGAACGCAGGCAGGTGGTGGGAGGCAGGCACAGGGACCCGCCTTCCAGACAGCGTCCAGACGGGTGTCTTTTCTGCGTCAGGAATTCCTAAAATCCTGTCAGTCCGCTCAGCGCGTGTCCCTCCCGTAAAGAACAATGGAGTCGGCAGTGAGGGTCAGCATCGCGCCATCCGGCTTCTTACGTAACTCCGTAGGAATCTGTGTGTTCTGTGCCCGGGGGTAGGACATGGAGAGAAAATCCAGCCTGCCAGGCCGATTCATGAAGAAAAGGCAGGGCTGAGAGATGCCTTAGGTTTATGAGGGACTTTGATACTTTGCCGAAAGCCATTCCAGCAAAGCACAGTTAGCCCCGATGTACATGCGAGGAGGCTGAGAGCACGAGGGCTTGGTTGGTCTAGGCCAGTGGTCGGCAAACCGCAGCTCGCGAGCCACATGTGGCTCTTTGGCCCCTTGAGTGTGGCTCTTCCACAAAATACCACGTGTGGGCGGGCATGTACCATGCGATTGAAACTTCGTGGCCCATGCGCAGAAGGCGGTTTTTGGCCTGGGCGAGTCTATTTTGAAGAAGTGGTGTTAGAAGAAGTGGGGGTGTCTGTGAAGTTAATAACAATGTACCTACCTGTATAGTTTAAGTTTAAAAAATTTGGCTCTCAAAAGAAATTTCAATCGTTGTACTGTTGATATTTGGCTCTGTTGACTGATGAGTTTGCCGACCACTGGTCGAGGCTCCCCAGCCCACGGCAGGGCCGGGAGTGTCACTTACATCTACTCACCAGCAGCCAGGCGTGGGCTTCCGCTCCATGCGGCGCAGGAGAAGGCTCGGCTTCTAGAAGCACAGCACCTTCAAGGCGGCACCAGAACAAATGCCCCCATCAGCAGGCCCCGGGCATTGCTTTCCCTGCAGCGGCCTTTGAACAGCGTCCAGGTACAGGGAGGGGGACACGTGAGACCGAAATAACAATAGCAAAGCTCTCACGACGCACGAGAGACCTAAACTCCGTGCCTGAAACTCTACCTGGTCACACGAACTTGGCGGTTCTGGGAGATGAGCAAAGGATGGTGCGGGGTGCTGTTTGGCTGCCTGTCGCGGCAGCCACCTAACGACGTGTGGGCCACAAAGGAATCCACGTACCCAGTTATTCTAGCGGTAATTTGGTTGCAGGACACGCAGTGTGTAGAACTGTGTGGAATTCTACGGTGGGAACTGAAACCGTTTCAGCCTCCACTCTGCTCTTGCCTGTCCCTCGGCACGGCCTGCGGGGGGCCTGCCTGTGAAGGAGGCTTCTGTGGCGGACAGGCGTTTCTCCTTAGGGGGCACTCGCCTCCTCTGGTTGAACTCTGCTGTAAGGTGCTTTGGGGTCATTCACAGTCATTGACAGTATTTTTAGGGTGCATTTCTGTTTGGTTTATAACGGGTTAAGTCTCCGACACAATCCCCAAAGGTTTTAAACAGAAACTCTGTGGCTCGTGGAGTATCTGAATTTCAAGTCTAGGACGTTTGCGATATGGGAATGACCACTCCCTAAATTCTTGTAGCGCAGATTCCGTTCGTCTGCCGTGACGTAGTCACGGGGGGAGGGAAGCTGACTATTTCAGCGCACGCGGCGGTGCTGGTGAACCGGCCCGTGGAAAACGAAAACCATGATTTATGGTGTTTTCCAACCTCTGAGTTATAAGTACTCCCACCGAGACAGATTTTAAGGTGCCAGTGGGTTTAGCAACCAGCTTGCAAAGTTCCAGGGAATTTAAACACCAGTGTGTGGGAGGCGGTACCCGCCGACTCCAGGCAGGGGAACCCAGCGCGAGCTTTTCGAGCCGTGGACACACATTAACAGGACACAGGAGAATGTTTAACTCGCGTGGAGAACGAGTTACATGGAGGCATTCATTTACATAAAAGCCACCTACCACCTAGATTCAGCACTAGACCCTGGTGTCCCGGTGTTGAGTTATCACTGCCTTTGTTCCTCTACATCAAAACTCCGCATGGATCGGAAATACAACTGCCTCTATCCTTGAAATTATTCTGGGAATCAAACATGTTGCTCACCACCCCATCTAAAGTGGGATTATAAGATTTTTACGTGAATTAACACCATAGCAATCATTCTAAAACAGCCCTCAAGGAACAATTTAAAGTTTCAGGGAGCTGTATAGAACGGTCTAGAATTTGGACGACACCATGAGGTTGGCATTCGGGCTTGGCCATGGTTGGCCAGCCAGCCGCCTGCTGCCCGGCTCGCTGACCACATGGCTCTCTCTGCAGTGACGGAGTTCGTGGGGCAGAGCTACCGCAGGACCGTGGGGATTGCTTACCAAGTTGCCTTCACCGTGGGGCTCCTAGTGCTCGCGGGAGTGGCCTACGCGCTGCCCCACTGGCGGTGGCTGCAGTTTGCCATGACCCTGCCCAACTTCTGCTTCCTACTCTATTATTGGTACGTCCGTTTGGAGCAAAAAGGAAACTGGTTGCCATATGTTTTCTCTCCCTCCCCTGACACGCACCATCCCTCTGCTGCCCGGGGTCCTTCACTCCTGTCCCACCGCAGGCCCGGCCCAGCGCGTAGCTTCCCGGGCGCTTGCGGGAGGTTCCCCTGACTGACTCCATCCCTCTGGAGGTGCCTCACTGAGCAAGGTCCCTCCCGGAAATCTGGTGTGGCCGTGGGGGGCAGGGTCCGGGGGGTTCCCCTCTGCTCACGCACTGTTGACACTGGCACGGAACCCAGGTGCGTGCCCGAGTCGCCGAGGTGGCTGCTCTCCCAGAACAGACACGCCGAGGCCATGCAGGTGATGAGGCACATCTCC